ATTAAATAAGTATTTAAGAATATTATATTAATAATTTATAATATAAATTTATAAATATTAAAATATATTCATATATAAAAAGGAAAATTAATAAAAAATTTAATAAGAATAAAAAATTGAAAAATAAAATTAAGAGTTAAAATAAAAAAGTAAAGAAATTGAAAAAGCATATGAATTAATTGAAATAAAAAAACAAGAATGCTAATAAATTCATAATTAAGTAAATAAAAATATAAAAATAAATATTAATAAATAAAATTTAATGTATAATTTGAATTAAATAAAAAAATATAGTTTAAATTTTTATAAATAAAATAAATAGTTTAAAAATGTTTTATATATAAAAAAATTAAAATTTCTTAATATCTTAATTTATTTATTTATTTATTTATTTATTTATTTATTTATTTATTTATTTATTTATTTAATTATTTATTTAAATATTTATTTAATATATTTTTTAAAGTATATAGTTTTGAAAAATTTATTTGAAAATATTAATCTATAAAATAGTTTTACAACTGAACATTTTACTGAAAATTCTTAAATTTCAAAAATAGAAAACGAGTCTAATTATTTTTTAAATTTTTTATTTATTTTTTTTAATTTATTTATATTTAGGAATATATAATCTAAAATTCTTTTTAACAATTCTTATATTAAATCAGTTAACAATGCTATAAATACATTTTAAAGTTGTACATAATATTATCCAAAAAAATTTAAAATAGTCAATTAGATTCTATTGTAATATATTTATAATATTTTTTTTCAATTTTACATTTTTTAAAAGGATAAAGAAAATAAATATTGACAGACAACTTATTGTTAAATATAATAAAAATGAATAAAATATTAAATAATAAATTCAATTTTTTTCATTAACAATATTTTTATTTTTTTTATTTTTTTTATATATTTATAATTTTAATAAGCAGTCAATAAAAAATTATATTTTTTCTAAAAAAACAATATTTTAAATAAAAAAATAAATTGAAAAAGTGATATATTTATAAAAAAATTATTAATCTTTTTATTTAATTTTACTAAAAAAAGTAATTTCAATATTTTATTTTAAAATATATTTATAAAAATTTTATATTTTTTAATTTTATTATATAATAATATTTTTAATTTCTTTTAAAAATTAATGTTTTTATTTTTTTTATTAAATTTAAATATATAATTTTTATTTAATAATTATCATGTATTTAAAAGAATTTAATTTTTTTTTATTAATAATTATTATTTAAAATTATATCTTACTTAAAATTAAATAATTATATAACTTTTTAATATAATATATTTATCTTTAATAACCCTATTTGTATTAAAAATGCTTAAGTAATAATTATATATTATACATTTTTTTTATGTGTAAATGTAAAAAATTGTAATTATTTAAATTATATTTTCTTTTATTAAATATAATAGTTTTTATTCTTAATTCTTACGATGCTAGTTATTTAATTTTAAAGTATGTTTTAAAAATAGACGAAACAAATTAAATTTATTATAATTTTAAATATAGTTGGCATTTTACACTTTATCAAGTATTAAATATTATTTTAAAAGCAGTAAATTTTAGATTTTAAATTACAAATATTTACAATGTCTTTTTCTAAAGCAATTATTTACATTACTTTTATTATATGAATGATAAAATTTGAAGAAATAATAGAATATATATTGAATTTAATTGTACAAATTTATTGAAATTATATACATACTGATAATATAATTGATATAAATAATTAAAATAAATCAAACAATCGAATGTTAAATAATTATACACATTAATTAAAAATAATATGTAATTTTATGATTAATAGTTAATAATAAAAAATAAAAAAAAATATTTTTTTAGTAAAGGGCATATTAATTAGAGTATTTTAATGGTTAATAATTTGGTTTTAATAAATTAATTAGATCAAATTATTTTTAAAAATAACGAAACAAATACAAAATAATATTCTCTAATTAAAAGCAAGTGAAGTTATATAAAAAATATATTTTATAATGTTACCTAAATTTTAAAAGGAATAAAAATTAAAAAATTTTAATAAATTAATTTATTTAATTTAATAAATAGAATGTTAAAACATAAGATTCGAGTCTTAAATTAAAGTAACTTTTATAAATAAAAATATAATTTAGATTAATATAGCATAAATCTATAAGAATAGGAATAGCTACTTTACTTAGATAAAGATGATTTATAATATAATTTAAGATTTTCAGTATATAATTTTAAACTTATAGTTATCAATAAAATTACTAATCTATAAAGAACTTTAAAACATTTATTATATTAAAAATTTTTTCCACAAAAATTATTAGACAACTTAAAAAACTAAAAATTATCAAATATAAATTATAATTTATATAAAAATAAATTATTAAATTTAAACTAATTTTTTATTATTAAATTAAAATTATAATATAATAGAAACATTTAATAATTTTATATAAATAATAATAAAAGAATTATATGTGTATTGTGTATATTTTTTTAAAAAATCATTTAATATTTTAATTTACTAAATTATAAAAAATTTTTCTAAAATTAAAAAAAAAATTGTAATTAAATAATTAATATAAAAATCACCTACTTTAGATGTATTTCTACTTTAATCAATACAATGTCCCAAAGTATTATTAATCTAAGGGGATATTATCTTAAATTATTTAATTCAGTGTTCTTTGCCTTGGATTTTAAGGTAAGAATCCAATAATATGTTTTTCTTTAATATATTCAGTTGTTTTAGGACCAATTAAAGGCAAGTGCCTAAGTGATAAATTATTGCTACCAAAATAATCTTTTTTTTATCATATTTAAATTAAAAGTGTCATTAGGATTATTATTATTTTCTAATTTTTTTTATTATAATGATTTAATTTAAATTGATTGTTTTTGAATAATGTTTTTTCTAGTTTCAGAGTCTAATACTTTTGTTGTTTAGATAATTTCTTGAGCTCCTTTGTGTATCTGAATGATTATTTTTATTTGGTGTTTTATGTAACTAATATTTTAATTTATCCATTTTTTAATATTTACACTAATACTTTAAACTCTTTTATCTGTTCTATATGCATTATGGAAATTTTAGTAACTTAAATATGTGTTATTATTTAGGCTTAAAGCTAATTTTTTTCCTTATTTTTTATATTTTAAAAATTTAAAATCTTTTTACGAATAAATGTAACTATTATATTCTATTTTTTGTCATTATTTTGGATATTTATAATTATAAATTTGAGCTTCTTTGAGTCTGAGATAGAGGGACACTAAATTCAATTCCTTTTTTTTCTTTATTATTTTCTTATAAACGAACTCCGGAATTCATTTTAAAATATTAGAAATTATCTACAATTTCTTGCCTTGAAAAATAAGTGATATTTTCTGACTTCTCATCTACTAAACTTAATGCCTTATTTTTTTAAAAACTGTTTTTTATACTATTGGAGGTTTATTCTTGGTTAAAACATCAATTCCTTATAGTTTACTTGATAATTAAAAGGTGGTAATTTATTCATATTTACAGGCTTATAAATAATAAATTTTCAATCATAATCATATGTGTATGTTATTTTTTAAGTCTGTTTATTTGTAGCGAATTTTTTATTCCTTTACTTCTTATTGTGGCAATTGTTTAGCTATTTATTTTTCTTTCTTTGCTTAATTTTCTCTTTCCTTTAAATACCTTAATTGCGCTTCTTCACAATCTATTATTCGGTCGATACCCAAATCAATAATTTTTCCAATCTCATTTTTTAATTTTTTGATAGACTCTAAATTTATTAATTAATTTTTTATTTAATGTTTCTGTATTTTAAAAATATCTGATTAGCTTTTTAATTTAGATTTTTCTTAAGGAGATTATTAATATGATTATACTTCAAATTTTATGCAAGAAAAATTTCCATGTTTCTTAAAAAAAAAGGAAGGTTAATTCTCTTTATTAAAACATTTGATAAATTATCGTATCTGATAAATTCTTACGTTTGTTATGTAAATATTAAATTAAATATTTTTTCGAATGTATAAAAGCTTCTTTTTGTATATAAAAAATGATTATATAACAATTATAAAGATATTTTATAGATTTGTTCTAGAATTTAAAATGAAAATAAGCAAAATGAAATAATAATTTTGATGTTGCAAAATCTTTATTTTATGATTTAATAAATGAATATTTTTATAATTTAAAAATAATAGTATAGTAATATTTAAATTTAATATATTTTTAAGAATTATTTTAAAGAATAAAGTAAAATTTTGTTTTTCTTTTAAAAATATTAAATTATGGTTGTCCGTAAAAATAAATTATATATAAAAAAAAAAAAATATATATAAAATAAAAATTTTTATAATCAATTATTTTATATAATTTATGAATAATATTTATTATTTAAAAATAAATTATAGATAAAATATTTTTGTATTTATAATTATAATGATTAAATAATTAATTATAAAAATTATTAAAGAAAAATAAAATTATTAAAAATAAGAAATTTGATGTTAATAATAATTGAAAAATAGATAAAAATAATATATTTAAGTAAAAATTAGATTAAAAAAATATTGAAATAAGGAATTTTATTATTTATAAATTTTGATATTTAAAAAAAAAATTAATTTTATATTTAAAAAATTAATTTTATATTATAAAAATTAATACGTATATAGCAAAAAAATAAAAAAAAGATACAATTTTAATAATGCAAAATAATTTGTAAATATTTATTTATATATTTTATATATAAATTTTTAAAAATATTTATATATTTATATATATTTATATTTATATTTATATTTTTTTTATTTTGTTAATTTATCCATTTAATAATAATTAATTATTAAAAAAAAATGCACTTAGATAAAAATCTTGAAAATATAGTTAACAGAGAAGCATCTTTACCTAAATCAAATGCTTAGTTTCTAGATGAATAGAGTCATGATCGAAGTTAAGATTAAAAATTTAAAAAGAATCCCCCTAGGAAATAGATATCAAAATTTGTTAATCCAGTAACATTAGTTAAACAAGAGAATTAAAAATTAAAAACGGTACATTCAGAATAAAGTAATTCTAATTTAATATAAGTAAAATATGGAAATCGTTAAAAAGTTATAATATTATCATCTATAGGAATTCTTATAGCTATAGGATTAATTTTAGGAGGATTAGCGATTGGAGGAATGTTTTCTCCACAATCAATAGTAGAAAAGATGAATTATAATAAGTAAGTTAAACTTCCTGAATCATATGTGAAATTTGAATAATAAATTAATATAGGTTAAGAAATGAATATTGTATAATTAATTTAGGTCCCTTTATCTTAAAAACATTATGAATATAAGTTGGAAAATGAATAAATTACTACTACTGGGGACGGAAAAGTTAATTCTAAAAAATCTATTATTACACATTCTTTCAGTCTTTTATGTTATCAAATATCTAATACTGAATTTAATATGTTTTTGTATTTTACATCTACTATTATTTCTGAAAATGATTAAGTATAATCTACATTAACCGGTTATCCTGCTATATTAGAGAAAGAAAAAGCAAATAATATAAGAAATATAGAAGATAATGTATAATAATCTTCAAAAACATAGGATGATACTTCTACATAAGTAAATGAATATGCACCTTTAACTCCATAAGAAATTAAATTATTGTTAGAAAAAGGAATTAGTGAAGAATAATTTAATTTTAGTAAATATCCTATTATTCGTTTTACATTAAGTAAATAAGGAGAGATAAAAAAAATATACGAACCAATAAACTTAAGAAATGATTTATAATAAATCTACTTAAATATTATTGAATAGCTTTCTCCTTTATTGCGTATAGATTTATACAATATCGTCGAAACAGACAAGGAAACAGGTAAAAAACGTATTTTGAAAAATGCAAGTGAATCTTATAAATATAGAAATTTAAATAATGTAGAAGTAACTCCATAACATGAAGCTGAAATTTAGGAGGATGGAAAAGGAATTTTAAAATCCACAGAACCTGAAGTAAGTGAAAATGGAAATTAGAAAGGAGAATATACTCAAGAATGTATTATAGAAAACGGATCATTATTAAGAAGTTCTGTAAGTTCAAAATTTACTGTAAAAGGAAATTAAGATGATAGCACTTCAATGTTTAAGCAAATTGACAATATTTCTGCTGTTATTATTTAATATATAGATTGGGATCATAATATAGAAGAAGCTTTTATTTAAAATTTGGTTTAAATATAATAGAAAATGAGCTACTTTATAATGACTAAATAATAAGCTTTGGCTAAAAAAGCGAAACAACACTTAAAGCCTAAAGAAAATCCTAGTTCAGTTATTTCTGATGATAATCAAGAAAGGGTTTTGGTTGGAATAGATGAAAATAGAAATTTAGTGTTTGAAGATTAACCGAAAAATGATGATAATTTTTAAGAGCCTAAACCTATGGGAGAAGTTATTTAATAAAGCATTTTTAGAAAAAACTTTGAATCAATAGAATTCGGAGCCGATATTAGATCTGAATGTATTGAATCTGGATTTTATAGCTCTGAAGATGTTTGTACTGTCGGATTATATGGATATTTTAATGGATCTATAACAAAAATTATTGAAAGATAAACTAAAATAAATGTTTCAAGATTACTTAAACTTAATTGGTACATTTAATATGTCCTTGTAGAAAAAATGGGATCAGTAGAAAATTATGTTAATTAAAAATTAGATAGAATAGTTTAAAAGGTAAACGGTGTTTTAGATTAATTAGAACTTCTTCTTGATATTAATAAAAACCCTGCTTTAAAGGTTATTAATGATGCAATATAAAATGATTAATTTGAAATTATGGATTCTATTAATAAGTTTGAACAAAAAATTAATAAATCAATAAAAAGTATTAATTGCTTTGTAAAAGACCCTTTAGGATTTTTTAAAGAAAAAGTTTTTGCTTTTTTGAATAAAAAAGGAATCTAAATAGAAGATCAAATAAAAAATATATAGAATTTTTTTAAAGATAAAATAAAAAGAATAAAAGATTTTTTAGTAAAAAACCGTGTAGAAGGAATTTCAACAAAAATAAAAGAAAAAATCCAGCTTTTTATTCAAAATTATTAACTTATTATAACCTAAGTACTAGATGAACCTATAAAATAATTATTACATAATACAGAATCTTTTATTTTATAAAAAGCAAACGAATTATTTACAAATACATAAGATACAGATAAATAAGTAGATAAATATACAGAGGAATTAATTGAAAAATCTGAAGATAAATTAGTAGAAACAAAAGAATCTATCTAAAAGAAATCAACGATTACAAAGCAAATGAAAAAAATGCTTTCAACATCTTTTTTAGTGGATAAATTAAAGGAATTTATAAAATCTATAATTAAAAAGATAACATCTTAATATAAAATAACTGATCTTCTTTAAAAAGGTTTATAAAATGCTATAAGTTTTGGTAAAGACTTCATTTTAAGTGAACTTTAAAATATAAGTACGAAGAACGAAGGACTTTAATCTTAAGAACTTGATAAAATTTTATAAGAAGCAAATGAAGTTGTCGATTATAGTTATGATTTTTTTTCAGGAATTAGAGATTTGAAAAAAGATATAAATAATATAGTATAGTCATTAAAAAAATTACAAAAAAAAGAAATACTTGATAATGTAAAATCATTTACATCAAAATTGGTTAGTTATCCGAAAGAAGTTGCTAAAACTTTAAAAGAAAAAGGCTTGTCAGTTTTAAATAAAATAAAAGCAATGGGTTTAAATATAAAAAAAAATATATTTGATTGGAAAGACGAGCTTGTTTAATTATCCAAAGATTTATGGGACGAGATAAAGAATACTTTCGAAGAAATAAAAAATTTCGCAACTAAACCTAAATTTCCTCCTAATGACCCTAGTTATTATAAAGAACCAATATTTACTTAAGTGTTATAAGTAATTGATTCATTAAAAAGTGTAAGTAATTTGAAATTTACATAAGTAATTTCTATTTTTGATAGACTAAAACTTTTTCCTAGTTAATTTATGGCTTTTGTTGAATAAATTAAAGAAATGGGATTATCTACTTTTAAATATTGGGATAGAGTTAAATTAGCATTTAATAATGTGAAAATGGAAGGATAAATTTTGTGGACTAATATAAAAAGTAGAGCTGACTAAGCTAAAAATTTTTTTGAGAATCAATTTAAAAAGAAAATTGTTTCTTCATCTGAAAAAAAAGGAAGACTATTATTTTAAGAAACTTAAAGGTAACTTGATGGAAGTATTGATATTAATAATTTGGAATTCGCAACTGTTTTTGGATAAGTTTAAGATGTAGCAGATAACTTTTAAACTGAAGGGCTTACTGAAGTACTTAATAATGTAAGTGATTTTAAAAGTCAAGTTGAACAATAAACTGAAAATTCAGGAGGATTAATCTAAAGATTAATAAAATAAATTGTTAGCAAATTGGAATTCTCAAAGTCATTTCCTTCATAAACACGTAAAATTCCAGTAGATTATGCATATACATATAGTGGAAAAATTGCAAAATTCAAACTGGTTTTAAATGCTTAATGGGAAGTCACATTTAACACCGGAATATAATTTAAAAATGGCTTATTAGATTTCAAAGCTGGAATAAATACTAAAGTAAGTGTAAATGGTAATATTTCTTTTGGTATTTCAATAGGAGAAGTAGGTGGAACAGCAGAAGGAACATTTTTAAATACATAAGTATAGATTGGCTTAGGACTAAAAGTTTTGGAAAAATTTGCTGGTTAAGTTTACATTGATGGCAATTTTAGCCCTTATGCATTTAAAATAGGAGCATATTTAAATCTTAGTCTTTAAAAAGAAAACAAAGTTTGTGGGAAAAATAATAAACGTTATTTAGGAACTGCTAAAAAAAATAATGCAGGCAATGTAAATGTATAAGCTATAGGTTAGGCTGCTGATTTAGCTAAAAAAAATTAAAAAGTTGTTAGTTCCGTTAATAAAAATTCAAAAATGATTAATTCCGCTACTAATGCTGCAAAAGATAAAGCTATATAAGAGGCTAAAGGACTTGGTTCAGGTTCTATTACAAATGTTAAAAGTGCAGTTTAAGATATTGTAGGTGGTGATGAAACAACATTGGTAAAAAATGAATCTATTGATAATGCATAAAATCAATGTTAAGTTAATGTAGAGGCTGTACCTAAAAAAGATTATATTTTCGGACCATTTGAGTTTATAGGTGAAACATATAAAAAAAGATTACTTGATAAGTCATGGAATGGCTATAATTAATCTAAAGAAGGATAATGATGAGAATAAATTCATATTTAATTTTTAAATTGAAAAATTTCTTAATTAATATATTTTTATCTTAATAAGAAAAATTATATATATTAAATGAAAAATATTTATATTATATAAAAATAATAAAAATTTTTATTTTTATATTTTATTTATAATTTTATTTTTATATATTTAATTTTATTTTATACAAAATTTTATTTATTATTTAATAATATTTTTATATTTTTTTATTTTTTTTATGATAATTTGTTATTTATTTTTTTATTTAAAATTAAATTATATATATATATTTATTAATTAATTATTTATTTATTTATTTATTTATTTATTTTTTTATTTTTTATTTAATAATTATTTTTATCAAAAATATACAACAAAAATATTATATTAAATTTTTTATATCATTTTAAATAAAAAATTTTTTATATCAAAAATAAATTTTATTTTTTTATTTTTTTAAATTATTATTATATATATAGATTTTTATTTTAAAATATAAAAGCATAATATTTATATTTTTAATAAAAAATATACAATAAATATAATGATTTTCTAAATCCTTGATTAGTTGTTCCAAAATATTTCTATTTTATTAGGTGGTATGGAAGTTGATTAGATAAGACTTGCTGTTTCTTTAATAATGACCATTCCATTTGGGTTGATTTTTTACTTTATAAGAGGATTTTTTATTAGACATTTAATAGGAAGTGCTTTAGGTATATTTTTATAATATTTAGTATATCAAGATGGATTAATATTTTTATTATTCCAAACGGTATTTGTATACATAATAATTTTGATATTCTAAAGAAAATCTGCATTGATAGTATTTAGTTCAAGCCTTTTTTATTTAAGTTTACACCATTTATACAGACAATATGTAAAAATATAATATTAATAAAAATAAAATATTAAAATTTAAAAATAAAAAAGAATGATTATGGAGGTTGGAAAATGGATATAACAACGATATTAATGATGACAATGTGCAAATACACAAGCTTTGCGTGGTGTTATCAAGATGGTGACTAAAAGCTTTAAGATTAACTAAGTGAAGATTAAAAATTGAGAAAAATAGAGAAATTGCCCAATTTCTTTGAGTATTTTTCCTACATTCATTTCTTTGGTAGTGCTATATGTGGACCTACATTTGATTTCCATGAATATAAAATATATATGAGAACCTCATCTACAAAATCAATTTCTTTCCCATTAAAAAACAGTTTGAATTGGCTTTTATAAGGACTAGCATTTACTTTTACAATCATATTTTTATTACCGAAATTCCCATTAAAATATGTTTTGACAGAAGAATATAATTAATCTTCTATGCTTTTCAAGTTTTATTACTTTAATGTATGTATTACTTTAATTAGATTTAGATATTATGCTGGATGGTCCTTATCCTAAGCTGGATTAGCTTCTACAGGTATTACTTACAATACAAAAACACAATAATGGGATTAAATTATTTCTTGTAAAGCTTCTCATGAACTTACACATGATGTAAGATATAAAGTTGAATGTTGGAACACTTCTGTTTAAATTTGGTTAAAAAAATATGTCTATTTAAGAGTTTATCCATAAGATTAATTAAAAAGTAACGTTAATAAAAGTAACATAGCTTAATATATTACTAATATGGTTTCAGCTTTCTGGCATGGATTCTACCCTGGGTATTATTTATCATTCTTCTAATGGTCTTTAGTAATGAATTGTTCAAAATTGCTATTTAATGCTTCCAAAAATAAACCAGAGTTCTTTGATAAATTGGAAAAAACTTTAACTTCCCCAGTTTATTTTGCTATAAGATTCTGTATTACTCACTTTTCCTTGAACTGTTTTGGAATCGGTTTCTAATTGTTATCATTATACGATAATTATGCCTTTTATAAAACTCATTATTTTTCTGTTTTAATTGTTAACCTTTTAGTTATTGCGTTCTTTTCCGCCACTAAATGGGGATAGAAATCAAGTAAGCCAAAAGCTTAATGATTTGTTTTTTGTATTTTTTTGTTATTTAATTTTATTATTTTTAATTTCCTTATTTTTTCTTTATATTTTTAAATAATTATTATATCAAAATAACAAAAATAATTTTTTACACATATATATGCTTTAGAATAATATCTTTTATAAACAAATATATATTAGAATTACATTTTTACATAATTTTTTTTAAATTTAAAACATTTTATTGATATCATATTTCTTTTCTACAAAGGGGACACTTCCTGTTTTTCATTAACCAATTTCTGAGACATTTTTAATGGAAAAAATGCATACATTTTAGTATTTTTAGATTTTATAAATGACTATATTTTCTTAAACAAATTGAACATTATTATTCCTACTATAGTTAATTTTAATCATATTATATTATTTTTAAGTTATTAAATTATTATTAGGAAATCCCAATTTAATTCAATGTTTTATTAATAAATATAACATTACAATTTTTACCTTAGAATTAAATTGCTTCTTTTAAATTAAGCATGAAATTCTATTTATATTATAATTTAGCTTATTCTATATTATTTGTAATCTATATTTCTAATTCATTTTATTAATTATTATATATTATATTTTATGTTTGTTTTTTTCTTATAAATATGTATTTTTATACTAACTTAATTAATGCAAAAATCAAAAATTAAATACTAAATATATACAAAATTGCCTTATATGTAAAAAATTAAAAAAAGAATAATAAAAAGAATAATTAATTTAAAAGGAATAGTAATAAATAAATATAATATGAGTGATAAAATTATTATGGCTTCAATATGTTTGAATCAACGATTTTTGAATTTTAAATTTTAGGCTCATATTCTTATTATTATCTAAATTAATTTTTCTAAAATTATTATTATAGAGTTAAACAAATCTAATTTTCCAATTAATCATAATTATTTTATATAGAAGAATTATTTGAAGATCCAGAGGAATAATTACTATCAATATCATCATTAATTTTCATTAAAATAAAATTTTTAAATAAAATAAAATATATTATAATTATTATTTTATATATATAATAATTAATTTGTTTAAAATTTTTATATTTTCATGAATTAAAATATTAAAAAATATATATATAAACATATATTTTAATATTTAAAGTAATAGTTTATAATTAAAAAATAAAGATTTAGTAAACCAAAAAATTTTTTTAAATAAAAAAAAAATGTTATAAACAAATAAAAAAAATTAAGAAAAAAAAAATATCCATATAATAAAAATTGAATAAAAAAAAAAAAATTATTAAAAAATTAATTTATTATTAATAAATAATATATAACAATATTATTAACATTAATTTATTTATCTAATAAAATTTATTTTAAAAATCTATATTATTATTAAAAATAATATTTTAAAAAATATTATTATAAAATAGTATCATCTTTTAATAAAAAAAATAAATATTAAATATAATATATTTTTATTTAAAAAGTAAAGTTATAAATTATTAAAAAAAATAATATAAAAAAAATATTAATTATAATATTAAAATAGAAAAAACAATAAAATAAGAAAATTATTTTAAAATAAAATTTCAATATAAATAAATAAATAGATATATAAATAAAAAATATATATATAAATAATTAAATAAATCAATAAATAAATTAATAAATTTATGAATTTATAAATGGATAAATGAATAATTTATTAAAAAAAATAGTAATAAATAAACATATAATTAATTATCAAATACATATTTATAAATTATTTTAATTTTTATTACTCATAAATTAAAATCTTTTTATTTTTTATAATATACTTTTATTTTATTTTTTTACTTTTTTATTTTTTTTATTTTTTTCTTTTATTTATATTTATTTATTATTGCAATATAATTTTGTTTTGAAATATTTTATTATAATTTTTTTCTTTCATTTTTATATTTTTTTATTTTTATTAATTAAAATAAATTTATTTTTTATTTTACATATAAAATAAAGATTTAATAATTTTATATATTGTATATTATATTTTTATTTTTACTTTAAATAAAATGAATTTTATTTTTATCATTTTTTTTAAATTATCAAATGTATATTTTTTTTTATTTTTTTTTTATTATTATCAAATATTTTCAATTAAATGTACAAATTCTTTGTACAATTCATCAATTTAATTTTAATATTACTAATACTCTTAGTTTTTATACTTAAAAATGTTTTCTACTTTGTTTTCTTATTTGAAAATAAATAAATTTATTTAAAATTATAAATATATTAATATAACTTATTTTTTTATGTTAAATATGTATTTCATCTTGAATATAATTTGCCCATTTCTTTTTAAATTAAATCCATAATTAGAAATGTTAAAACAATAATTAAAATAATTAATAAAAACTTTAATAATTAATGGCCAAAATTTAATTTTTATCCAAAATACTTACTGAATAACAACCCAAACCGTAATTATGTAAATCATATTCTACTGACATACTTAGAAATTTTAATCTTTAGGTTTATAAATTAATGCTATTGCAAAAGTTAGCATTATCCCATTTATTGAAAGAATGTTCAATAAAATTTAAACAATCATAAGCATTTATTGCTAATTATTTCCAATATTCAATTTAATATTCTTAATTTATATTCTATTTTTCTACAAAGCTATTTGTACTTTTTTAAGTAAAGTTTTATAATATATTTGAATGCGAAAAACCTTCATTTATACATAAAGTTATTCCGTAAAGTATATTTTAATAATGCATTTCTACTTGAAGAACAAATAAATTATATCCATAAGGAGTTTTCTATAATAAATAAATATATTCTATTTTATTAAATAAAAAATACATTTTAATCTTATGATGTTTTTCTGTTTAAAAACAATTAGTCCTGTTCAATTTTATAAGGCGTTTAAGAAGGAGTTAATATTGAAATATAAGCATGAATATTATCTCCAATTATAGTATGATCAATTATTTATGAAAACTTTTTCTCGAATTTCGATACAGGATGGAATACTTAAGAAATTTGAAGTCTTGATTTAAATAAATTTATAGTGTAATGAGTTAGATTTTATAAAATTTTATCATATAATTAAGGCGATTCTTAATAAAAAGCATATGATTCTGCAAAAAATACTGACAACAAATCTATTATTTATTCCATTTCTTCTGTAAACTTTTTTTATTTTTAAAAAAAACATTTAATTTAATTTTTTTACTGCTAAAGAAAGCTTTTCATATTCCATTTAATTTATTTAAAATGAATTTTAATTTTATTTAAAAACTATTACTTAAGGTATTTATAAAATTTTCAAAATTCTCTTACTATAAACTTTTACAAACTAAAGAGTATTAAATGTATTTTAAATTTATGTAGTTAGTTATAGACAATACTCTTTAAAAAAAGCTAATGTTTAACACCAAAAAGAATGTATAATATTTCTTTCACCGTTTTGAAGATAAAAAAGTTCACTTTCAATATTTTTGTATAAATTGCTGCTACAGATTAAAGAAATTATATTAATTCCATTAAGCAAATCTGCTCCTTATTCAGATGTTTAAGCTAGCTTTTTGAGGAAATAATTTATACTTATGAATATTTATGCAGTTTATATCTCAAGAATAAAATAAATATAATTAAAATAAATTAAAAAATTACTTTTTATTAATAAATTTTAAATGCTATAGTTTCTAAATGCTTAGGATTTGTTTTAAAGGCTTATATAATAGCATTTGGCTAAATAATTAGCAATGAAGTTAAACAGGAAACAAGTATAGGCAATCCATCAATATCTTATTTAAACAAGATCATAAGAATTTCAATTAATTCATAAACAAATTTAGATAATTGTTAACTAAATGATAAATGCACTTAGTTTATAATCATAACTTCGATTATTTATAATTAATAAAAAAGAACCTAATGTTAAAAAATATAGTAAAATAATAAAATTATATATATTTACCTATAAAATTTCACATAAAAGTGCTTATGATTAAAATTAAGTGTATTTATTAAGAATGAGGCAAATTAGTTTAAATTAATCTTCAACTTCATTAAAATGGAAAGTGTCTTAAATATTATTCTAGAATTATTTATCTTTTTTCTTTTAGTTGTATTCTAAATCTTGCAAATGTCTCAAAGCATTCTAAATATGGAAAATTAGTTAAATTTTTCTCTCAAAAAGTTCCCCTACAATTTACAAATTATTAACATCCCAAACTATTTGTTTTAATAAATCACTCAAAAAGCTCATAAAAGAGGGAATACATTTTTTTCCTTCTCCTTATTCAAATACTTAAGTAAATCCACTCACAAATTCCATTTCATGGTTTGGATATAATAATCCTAATTGCTCTTTTGCAGTAATAATTTTCTGTTATTAAAGTTCTTTTATTGTAAAGCTCGGATAAATACTACTTATTGTACTCATAGCATGTCCTTCATTTCCAGCAGATAAAACAAGACAAAATAAGCGAATCCAGGAATCGTATAAATCTAAGCTTATATCTCTGATAGAAAAAATTAAATTTTAAGATCTTATTTAAATACTTTTAGCCAAAATTTAAAATCCTCTTTCAAAATATGATTGTTTTTATAAATTCGGATGATCAAGTTCTGTAAAATTTTCATTTACTTAATCTAATAAATAATATTGACCATATCCAAATATATTTATATTTAATAAATTATAAAATGGTTGTTCGAAAATAGTCTTTTTTGTTTATTATATTCGAACTTCTTAATCCATCGTATCTTAATTTTAAACTGTTTAGTATATATATTTGCAATTATGTTATTAATTGTAAAAAACAAATTCTTTTAAGTTATTAATTATTTCAATTCTTTTTTATATTTAAAATATTAATAATAGTTTTTTTATTGTTTCTTACGTTTTTTAATAGTTAAATATTTGCTTCAAACTCTCTAAAATAAAATTATGCTTTTAAACAAGGAATTATCTACTCATTAGCTCTAGTAATGTTTGGAAAGTACTTGCACAAACCATTTAAATATATA